TTTTGGGATGATGAAGGCTGTCGGACGCACTCCTCTGCTTGGACGGTTTAGGGTTTTAGGGTTTAGGGTTTAGGGTTCAGGGTTTAGGGTTTAGGGTTTAGGGTTTAGGGTTTAGCCATGAACCTCTGAGTAAGGCACTGACAGGGAGTAAGGCACCGACAGGTTTCTCGTTTCCGGAACTCCCTACTTCCCTAACCCTGGAAGCCCTAAATCCTTACACCTTTAATCGTTGAAAAGCCCTAGCACTCATCACAAAATCATACTTGTTGGTCCAATCCTACATCCTGAACCCAAAGGCCTGAAAACCCTAGACTGCCCTGCACCCTGAACCCTAAGCGTCAACCCCGCCCTCCAGCCCTATAAGCCCAAATTCGTAAGCGTCATAACCCTCAAGTCAAACCCCTAAACCCTAAACCCTAAACCCTAAACCCTAAACCCTAAACCCTCAAGTCAAACCCGAAGCCCGAGACCCTAGACCCCAAGCCGTACTCCCTGAATCTTGCCTCCTCTTGATCACCGGCCGCAGCCTCCGAGCCTGAGGCAGGCCCATGACCCTTCTCATCTCACTTTGGGACTTAGGGTTTAGGGTTTAGGGTTTAGGGTTTAGGGTTTTGGGTTTTGGGTTTTGGGGTTAGGGCTTTTAGGGCTTTGGGGTTTAGGGTCCGTTAGCTTCCGTGACTGACTGACAGAAGCTTCACATCATGGAATGTCAGAGAGAAAACCATATTCCAAATTAATATGGAATACAATATAGCACGACGAACGAAACACAGAACAACTTGGCGCTGCATCAACATTTATTGAATTGCAGTGAATTGGTGGAGTAACGAATATAGCAAGAAATGATATGTTATGATATGGTATTACGCTAAATGGTATGGTATGAAAATATGATATGCAGTCTCATAACAAAGCACGACACAATGTGCTGGGGTGTGATACGACATGGCAAGATAAGATGCGGTATGGCACAGACATAGCAAGACATAAAACAATGCAACGTAAAATAGCATAATGCAGTCGAGTTCAAGGGGGTAGAATAGAATAGTTAATAAGGTACTATACTAGTGCATAGTTCAATGAACTGGCCTAATACAAGATGGCGTGTTCCAAAATAGCATGACAGAGCAGCATGATACAGGTATGATATACTACCAGCGACTATGCTATACTGCAGCTTAAGCTTTGAGATATAATACAGCGTAACATACTATAGCGAAAAGATGTGTAACATAACATAACACAACATGTCATAACACCATGCAATACAGCACAGACTAGCATAAGCCAACACCGTATCTTTCCTTACATGTGCGTACACCGTAACATAACAAGTTATCATTCGACAAACAATAACGTATGGTAAGATATGATATGGCATACCATATCTGGAGAAAAACAACACATGATGAACTGTCTGATACAGCATCAAACCTTGCATGATCCAGCGTACAGCATACTTTAACACAATGTAACCACGCATAACAAGATGTGACACAACATATGTTATCATGATATAATATAGTCTAGTACGAAATAATGCAGCTCGGGGTGCGCTACATTGGAGAGAGGGAGATCAACTGACACGCCCTAATCCATAAACCCTAATCCCTGCAGCCTAAACCCTAATCCCTAAACATCCCTCAATCCCTCAACCCTAATCCCTAAACCCTCGGGGCCAGGCCGTCGCTGTTGTCGACGGCAAGGCAGAGTTGGACACGGTCTGTTCCTGTCCAAGTCCAGGTTCCCCGGTAGGTTTTACTTACAGGGTTCCGTCTGAAAGCTCTTTCTTTTTGCAACGGGTTAAAGAGCTCCTGTAGGGTCTTTTAGGGTTCTAGGCTTCTAGAGTATCCCCTTAATGTTCTGTGTACCTCTCCTTCCTACTAGTCAGCTTTCATTGGCTTAAAATTGCATCGCAGATCATTACGGCAACTGCCAGGCCTGGGGATTCCAGATCGGTGGTATCGCAATGGAATCCATTACAGGGGCACTCGAGTGCTGCAGCCTTCAGAATTATCGTTTTCTGGTTCGGGCATGTCCTTTCTACGATAGCTGGACCAATCGAAACGCGATGCGGTGCACACATGCCGGCAGAAGGGTAATCTGCCTTCATCTGCTTCCTCCGTCTCTGGGTCATCAGGGCCTGTTCAGTTAAGGCAAGTAAGCTCTGCACCCACCTCAAGGCCCCCGCAAGCAAAACAGGCTGTCATGAACATCCTGCTGTCGCGCGGCACTTCCGCACTGCTTTCAACTGCGTGACTCGAAGCTTCATTTCAACTGCTGGGCGCAGCCTGTGATGACATCTTTGATGGCATAGAACGGCTGGGGATGATGCACATCCCACACCAGAATAACTGCCTCATCCACATGCCAGAAGGCAGCATTGCAGAATTGTATCAATTGTGCCATGGGCCACTGTCATGCTATCTCATCAACTCCGCGTCATCTCCTAGACACCGTGGACGCAGAAGAACTCGAACAAACAGAAACTTGCATCACTACGGCAGCCGGTGAGTACACGCCACATGGCCTCGGCAGATGCAATGGCCTCCTGGCACAGAACCGGTCGCAGCTTCGAGCATCTGCGACGGCTTTCTGTCCTCCAGCTTGCCCAGGTCCGCAACAGCCAGGACCCGGTATTGCAGCCGCCTTGGCGCATCTTTCTCCGATGTGTCAGCTGTCGAGGCAGAATCTCACTGAGGCACCTGCACTGAGTAATACTTGTTTTCCAGGATGCCCAGGGCGACATCAGCAGCGTCCTTATGTTGGCAGGCGCACTGTGGGATCCTTCCATTCCTATCGAATCTTCATGGGGCACTGGCAAAACTAAAACCCTGTATCATATAATTCGAATTACTCTTAAGACGGCACCCTGTAGTTTGGGAGCCCAAAAGGGACCCGAATTTGGACAGCTATCCACAATGCAGCTTGCTAGCCCCTGAACCCTAAACCCCAAACCCTATGTCGATGCCCCTGCCTCGTGTAGGGTCAAAGCTCTCAGGAGTTGCCGCGCTAGATCTCCGTCTCCGGCAAGGAGGACTGTCGGCATGTCCTGGCCATCCACAGATGTAGTCTTCCGGTAGTATTAACATAACAAAAGAATAACAATGATAACTATCATAATAATGGTAACAATAATAATGCTCACAACAAATAGCAATGAGAAACAAATAGAAATACGACCATGCAAGCAGACACTGCATCTGTCCTGCCGTGGCTCTAAAGGCGGCATGGTACTGGAATCTTGGCAGTCCTCGCACGTGGCTTGTGAAACACTGCTTGTTGCAAAGAAAAGCTGACCCAACGACCAGTCTGAAAAGCTGCAACGGCATGCACCACTCATTTCAAACTCAACTAAGCGTACTGTAGGGGCCTTAAGAACTAGAATAGGGTTTTGGCGCCCAATATAGTATATCTGCACTAAGGAACCCCCAAAATAGCATAGGTAATCATTTAGGCCCCTATATTAAATGCACAACAGACCAAGTCGAGTGAAACTGCTTTCAAGCACGGGCAATGACCCGAAACCCCCTAACCCCAAAGCCCTAAACCCGAAAACTCCAGCCCGAACGTGACCCCAAACCCTAAACCCTGGATCCTAAACCTTAAACACTGAGCCCTGAACCCTAAATCCTCAACAAAACCGAAACCCCCAAACCCTAAATCCTCAAAAAGTCCTGAGTCCTAAAGTCTAAAACCCTCAACCCAAATCCTAAACCTAAACCCTAAACCCTAAACCCTAAACCCTAAACCCTAAACCCAAGAGCCCTAAGCCCACTAAACCCCAAACCCTTCATCCTCGGACAGCCCTAAGCACTCAAATAGCCCTAAGCCCAGAACCTCCAACCCTTAAAAGCGCCCTAAACCCTAGTAATCCCAAACCCCTAAACCCTAA